ATACTTTTTATAATTTTATCGATAAATTACAAATATTGAAAAACATGAAACAGACACAGCCGGCGGAGACGCGGGGACTTGGGCGTCCTGGGACATCTCTTTCTTGCGGAACCGTGAAAAAACATCCTTTTCGTTTGGTTTGCGGCGACGCGCACCGTCGCGGGTCTCCCGTTTCCCCCGATTTCCAGTTCTCGGGATCGGATATAGCCCCTCTCTCCGCTCTCGTTTCTCTCTCTTTCTTGCTTCCCGCTTGTTTTCTTTCCGAGGAGAACGGAAGTGGAACGGAGAAGTCGGGGAAACGGGAAACGCGTCGGATCCGCGCGTCCCTCGGGACACTACTAAATATGTACTTTACCTATTTTTATTATTATACCGGCCGCTCGAAAATCCCCGGGTCCTGGCGCGACTGACATTTTTTTTTGTTTATTGATATATTTTCACACCGAAGTCAGAAAGGCAATACGCAGTATGAACTTACTTAGTACATTTTGTGTGTGTATGTGTGTACGCGTATGTGTGTGGCTTTTACAACTATTTTCTTCCACTTTTTGTTTTTTTTCTCTCTCTGTTTTTACTCTTCTTCCTTGCTTTCTTTCTTTTTTTTTTCTCTTTTGCTTTATTCACATTGGCGGTTCGCTTTTCGAGTTGTTCTTCTTCTTCTTCTTCTTCTTCTCGTCGTTTTTCGTATTTTCTTTTTTTTATTCTTTTCCACCTTTGTTCCACCGTTCGTTCGTTCGTTCGTTCGCCCCCCAGTAATATGTATGTATTTGCTCCCACGCGTTCTTCCTACCTCTAACAAACCTTCGTTTCTCCCTTTCTTTCCTTTTCCTCTCTCTCTTTTGTTCCCTTGCATTTTCCGCCTCGAACTTCGCCACCTCTTTTCGCCTCTACAGCGTTCCTTTCTTCACCTTCTTCTCTTTTTCCCCCTTTCTTTGTTACGTTCCGCGTGGGTTTGTCACCTACACATAAGTTTGCTGCTGCTTCGATCGTCCGTTTCGTCTTCCCCCGTTCTTCCCGAGTCTCGAAGATACGCGAGAGTAAGAGGGGGGGAGAGAGAGAGAGAGAGATGATAGATAGATAGATCGATAGATCGATAGATAGAGAGAATAGAAAGGAGCTTAAGAGGAGAGGGTGCTCTCGGAGGGGTCCTGCGGAGAGAAGATTCGTATACAGAGACGCAGCCAGTTAAAAATTCGTAACTCGCTAAAAAGAAGAAGAGAATAAGAAAGAAGAAGGAACAAGTAACGAACGAAACAGAAGCGCGGCAGAAGAAAACAGTGGGATTAGGTGGAGAGTTTCGTGATTTCGTGTCTTTCTTTCCGTAATCTCGTTCGATCGTCAATTTCCCGAATCGTCGTCTTCTTCTCAACGGGGAAAAGAGCTGGTTGATCGAAGAAAGTGTTTTCCACCTGGATCGACCTAAATTCTGCTCCCTCGTGGATTGACAATTAATCGGAACGGCGTGTCCGTGGTAGTCGAATGCTGCGTTCGAAAGAAAGAAAGAAAGTGCCAACGAAACAAAAACAATAATACCGGGTAAATTAAATATTTTCAATCGATTTTATTGAAAATAATACAACAAAATATTTCATAATAATAATAATAATAATAATAATAATTAAAAATAA